CGGGGGCGGAAGTCGGCGCTGGGCGGGCGGGCGTCGCCGCGCGGGAAAGTTGAGGGGACGCGGAGGGACGTGAACAAGGAACAGGACGCCGGGAGAGGAGTTGGTTCATTATAGGTGCAGACTCCGGTGGAGCCAATTCGAACACTGATGAGTAGACGGATTGTAGGATAGCGAGTGAAATTCTCTGTGTTCCACTGGAGAGGCACTCCCAAGGCACATTGTCCGTGATGAAAGGCCGTCCACGAGGGCTGGACTGTGATTGCATTACGATCAGACAATGGTTCAGCTAGCTACAACGCTAGAAGATGGTGTCCGAAGGACAAAACGAAAAAAATAAGTCAGAATTTTTAATTATGAGTCTTCAGAGCGCACCGAAAGATGAAAAACATATGTATTATTCTGTTTGCTGAGGATAAAATATCCATCAAATAAAATATTGAGTTATAAAAGTCGCAAATGTAAGACAGTTCAATAGCAAAGTACAAACCACTAGAAAACCAACGCTAATCAAAAGAGTTTTGCAAGAATACTAAAAAATAATTGGAGTAATTGCATATACAAACAAAACGTATTAAAACGATAAAAAAGCAACGCGTATTATTAGAAGGGTGGCTCGAAAATATGTTTTAATATGTTTTGTTCATCTCTTCCATGGACGTACGGAAATGCTCGCATTAACGATTCTCTTTCTTATTCCTCATAAAGCTCCAGAGCTAATCATATATAGAATAAAGAGAGAAATTCTCTTTATCAGTTGTTAGTGAAAAAAGCATGGTAAATATTCTTAAATATTCTTGTGTAAAGAGTCTGTTTCTACGAGTGAGTACTGATGTCTCACAAAAATCGAAATTATTTATTTTATCTTCCCTTTCCTAAGGGATGTTTTATAAATAAAATTTCTGACAGATTGCCGCCGCCATAAAGGGAATATCTATTGCGTCTTTTTTAAGAAGAACGAACTAGTTACATTACGTCCGGAGAGCAAAGTGACTAGGTGAAGGAGAAAGTGAGCGGGTAAAAAATGGATAAAGGGTAGAAATGGTGCCAGGTTAACTGATGTTTTTGCCTCGATAATAACAACAACAAAAATTATAAAGATAATAATAATACTAATAATAACTAAACACTCGCATCCGTTACCATCCTCCCCTTATTTTCTTTCGATCCATTTACAGACTATCCCCGAACCATTTCAAGGAGAGTACAGCTGCTCTTACAGTGTCCCTCTCAAGGAGTTTGCAGGCTTCAAGTGGCGGATTGTCGACACCTCCTTAGACCGAATTCAGCCGGTGCTGTATGGTCGTAAACTCAAGTCAGCCGTTCATTGATTGATCGGTTCATGTTTCTGGGCCCGAAAACTGCTATGGTTATTAGACCCGTTAGTTTAGCGTTGCTCCCCAGGCCTTATGTCGGTGTTATCCTTCGCTGGATGGTGAGATCCGCGCTGGACCAACACGGCGATTTGCGGCATTTACACTTCCCCCCAAAGGGGCACCGGCCTAGACGGAACAAGCTTTAATTTAGTGTGTGGGTGTTGGAAGAAGATAAGACAAGGAAGTGAAAAGAAAGATCCCGCGCGGTCCGCGGCCCGATTATTAGAGTGCAGCTCCTGAGGCCTTGATCGAAGAAAAATAACTGGGACAAACGGACGATCAGAGTAGGCGGCCGCTTGAACTTTCCTCTAGACGGTGGTTCAATTTGACCTAGCTATTTAGCTAGAGTGCTAGGCCGCTAGCTGTCG